ATAGCCGATATCTAATGAAGCTATTTATTGATACCATACTGTTGCCTAGTGAAAGCCAAAATAGGCATAATGAGGAGTATAAAATAAGCAACTGGCTGTGATGGTGCACCCCATAAGGCTTTATGGAAATATGCTTATGAATTTCTATATGACATAACTAGAATATATTTTATGCTATATATGCCATGTAACATATCTCTGTAAAAGTTATGATCTACTGAACCTATTAATCCTATTTGTATGCATGTATCATTTTTGTATTCAAAGTTATGAATATTGGCTGTGTATGGGCTTGATTCTTAAATAGCCTTTCTAAAGCATTTAGTCAGCTTCTTGAGAAAGGAATGTGCAAATTAAGAACCCAATCAAGCAGCATTTAATGAACAATGGATGTTGGAAGGTCCCAAACCACATAAGAAGTCTTCCTGGAGACATTCAAGATACCATGTGGGCAATGGCTGCTGCCTGTAAAAACTGAGTCATGCATGGACATGTGACTTGCCCATAAGACTCCAAAACTCCATCTTGTAGCTGGACTTTGCATAGGAGAGAGGTCTCCACCCACATAAGAATGTCTATTTAAGCCCGTGGGAGATCCCTCCATTTTGTCTTCAGCTGGCTAAGGAGATTTGGGAGGGGGGGGGGGGAGAAGAGAGGCTAAGGATACCTGAAAGAAACTGGAACAAAGGACAGTAACTACAGGGGGTGTGAGATTGCTGGCAGTCTGTAAAAGGAAGTTTACTGGAATTCCTCTAAGGGGGAGGTTTTATCTGTATTCAGTTTTCTTAGACATAGACTTGTGTGTTCTATTTTATTTTGCTTGGTAATTCACTTTGTTCTGTCTGTTACTACTTGGAACCACTTAAATCCTACTTTCTGTATTTAATAAAATCACTTTTTACTTATTAATTAACCCAAAGTATGTATTAATACCTGGGGCGGGGGGGAGAGACAAACAGCTGTGCATATCTCTCTATCAGTGTTATAGAGGGGGAACAATTTATGAGTTTACCCTGTACATGCTTTATACAGGGTAAAACGGATTTATTTGGGGTTTAGACCCCACTGGGAGTTAGGCATCAGAGTGTCAAAGACAGGAACACTTCCTAAGTTGCCTTCAGTTAGTCTGCAGCTTTGGGGCACATGTTTCAGACCCTGAGTATGTGTTGGAGCAGACTGGAGTGTCTCGCTCAGCAAGACAGGGTGCTGGAGTCCCAAGCTGGCAGGGAAAGCTAGGCAGAAGTAGTCTTGACACATCAGTTGGCACCCTCAAGAGGGTTTCTGTGATCCAACCCATCACACTGACTATATAAAAGTGTCTTTCAAATGCACACACTACAAGTCGTCCTATTCAGCTTGAGCTTTGGAAAATCCACAAGGCAATCTACAGTAGCATGGCTGATGTACAGTTAGGTTGTGAAAAGGCATATTTCAACAAACTGAATGAAGAATGGAGAGCAGACAGTAAAAAAGAGGGAACAAAGGAATTTTCACTCCAAGGATGGAGGTAGAGATTTGAATAAAGTAAACAGACTCCAACTTTGGCCCAAAGCTTAAACCTACACAGGCAAACTTGTTTACAGTGATTAGAGCTGGGTGAAAAATGCAAGCCTTAATTTCAAGTTTTAAATGAATTCATTCTAGCTCTGCTCAGACCTTTTTTGTGTCCTTTTCCCATGAACATATGAACAATTTACTTTAGTGATGGGCATCCATAGAATATTCATGCCAAATTGTTTATTTGATAATCCAAATAGGAATAAAGACGATACTGTGACATATCTGACCAATCACAAGCAAGCAACAAAAGTCCTGTCTTAGAATATTCACAATCAATCCATGAAGTAAAAAATTAACAATATTTGTTGAATAAATACAAATATTGATCTGCTCGTGGCTATTCTGTGGAGCAGAAAATAAGGCTACATTTCTTGAATAAATTGTCTACTGTGAATTACTCAATTCTAGTATTTTAATTTATGGGAGAAATTGGTATAAAGTTAATAGCTAGAATATTGTAATGAGGGCATAAACAAGTAAGGGGTGCCTAGCCATGACAGGGAGAATACTGTAGTTAGTTCTTACAAGTAGAGAAGTGGATTCTAGTCAAGGAAGACAGAGGAGAGGGGCTCTGGCAGCTTGTGTGCACAGGAATTTGGCTCCTTATTATTTCTTGGGTAGTCTTTAGTCTCCTGAAACTTTACACCTTAGAGAAGATAAAGCTTCTCTTTTATATGGACACATGGTACCCATATTATCCACCTCACATAGGAAAGTTATTCCTGGATAAAAAAAAAAAGAATAGTGCCAATATTTTACATATAAAAAGGGAATATCCAGTAGAGATTATTTTTCTCTAGAATGTGGGGGGGGGGGGGCAAGAGGAAGGGCAGAGATTAAACACTGGTATAATACAGTGTCAAGTATTTGCAATATCCTGAGTGGTTTGCAGAATTCTGTGGTGTTACTGATAAATGTTCTGAGGTTCTCTCATAATAAAGAAGATAATGTGTATCACCACTGTACATGGAGGTTCACCAGATAACATTATACTTGTTATTGTCATGTTTTGAATGACATTCTTAACAGAGGTAATGGACAGATATAACTCAAAACTGGATCTTTAAATTATTATAATTTGCTTCAATTTGGATGTATTTTCTGCAGAAATGCTAATATTATGTGGTTATATAAAGTGTTAGTAAATTATGAAAATATGGAAAGAGTAACAAATGTCACAAGAGCAAATACTATCTTAATGTTTTTCATCTACATGTAACAAAAATCTGCTAATATCAAATAATAACGTAACACCAGGCCTGACTAGAATATATTAAAACTATCATAAAAACAAAACCTTGCCTGAAATAAATTTCTCTTTCAGTTATATTTTCTAAAGTAAGTCAGAGATTTGATTTACTTTTCAGAATCCTCAATTGCCTTTGACAATAATAATTAAGTACATTGTATCATACTGTGGCATATAGCAATCCTGCTGAAAAATGGAAAGATACAGATATACTCCTTACTAGACACTAACAGGTAATACATTGTACTAAGTGGTCCTATACTCAGACTGATGTCATTGCCAGAAAACTGCAGCATCCAGCACAGCTGGCTTAACTGGCTGGTGAAAGATTCCCCCCAATGTGAGGGAGTCCTTGGGATGTGTAACAAAGCTATAGTGGTTACAGCCCACCCCTTCTCCTGACCCCCAGTGGGGGTGGCATAGCCAAGGAAAGGAGGTATGGCCATGACATCTCAAACCCTGGCGATACCTAGCTGCAGGAAACACCGGTTGGGTTTGGGGCAGTCAGGCTTAAGGTAGAGTAGCCCTGAGGCTGCTCTAACTCATGCTGGAAACTCACCAATTCTCTGGGTGAACCTAGGATTACAGGATGGAAGGCCATAAAGGTAGTGTAAAACCAGGCACAGGTTATACACAGCCAAAGTTTGAGGTCTAATATTGAACTATAAATAAACTTTTGAATACTAAACAAAAATCAGACTAGTTTGCACTGTGTTAATGAAAGATAAGCCAAGAAGAGATTTCTCTCTCTGAAGTCTGTGAAACACATGGTAATAGCTCAGGAAAAATTAAAAACCACAGACAAAGTATATGACCACAGGCAGATTTTAGAAATTGATTTGCAAGGAAAGGAAGTTTTGAAATTAGGTAATAAGCAGTTCTAGTCAAAGGGGCTTTTTCTATGCACAGTAAAACTTTTTTACTGATAGGGTTTGATTCTGGTATTTTAATATTTTTATTATAACATATTAGTCTAATGCCTGCTGCCTTATCCAAACACACACACACAAACACTGGCCGTTACAGGAATATACTTTCCATATACATCATATTGATGAATGAGGTGACACCAACAAATATAAAGGCAATGTAATATTATATATATAGTTATCTAAACAACATTTAAACACATTTCATTAGAGTATCATTATTAAAAAGGAATTTGTTTTAATGGATTTTCCCAGCTTAGCTCTTCTTTATCTGTATATCCAGAGCACAAACCAAGAAACTTCTGTGCTGATATACTAAGTATAATGCATAGTAATATTTTCAAACCATCCCAAACTGCACATAGATTCTTGTCTTCACACACTAAAATCCATTCCCTTATCAGCTACCTACAATATCTGGGTCCAGTATTGAAATGTTACTACCTAATTTAGGGCAGCCATTTCTACATTTAAGAGTTCCAGTTGGTAATAGAACAGGTACATGGATACCTAAGCACTCATTTAGACTGGATCCCTTAGCTTAAGTACTTCAAGTTTGAAACTGGTCTCTTTAGTTGTTTGTGACAAAGTACACATGTGATGATGACCCTTCCCTGCAAGCCAGTGCGAAGACAGTTTCCCATCAGCTGCCAGGGGAATGCCCAGTATAAGCATATGGTAATGTTTTCCTTGGCAAGACCAAGTTTTTCAGACACACCTCATGACCTCCTTTTGGGTCCCTTGTTCCTTATGTTGAATTGATTCTCACTCAGCAAGGCATTAAAGGCAAGACTTTCAAAGGCAAAAATAGTGGTCAGGCTCCTAACTCCTATTGACTAGCACTGAGAGTTAGGCACCTACCTGCCACCTGTGCCTTCGAAAAATCTACTCCTAAATGGCATTCTTTCAAAAATGAGGTCTCTTTTTGCTGTACATTGCACAGGAAAATAGGTGTTTAAAAGAAAATTAAGAAGAATTTACTATCACAATGGCTATAATTATTTTAATTAATTTGCCCCAGTTCAATAAACAAAACTGATCAGTTCACCATTAGACTTGACTTTGGGTTGCTCATCCCCACATGAGGGAGTCATAACATAACCAAGATTTCAGTATCTATGTTGTCATTCCAACCAAAGATTTGCTAATTAATGCATTATAGAAGTGTGTGATGGGTACAACAAATCTTGACAGACGAAATAATCTCACTCAATAGCATGTCACAAAGTTAGCCAAAAAACTGTTGCATCTTTTATACTCACAAATAAAATTTTTCATCCCATACTGGATTCAAGTTTCCAAAGATAGTTTTAGTTCTCCGTTTGGTTTTGCCAACTTGTACTGTAACGTATGGATCACTTGAGCCTGTTTTATCCTTAGCTTGTAAACCCTGAGCACAAACCACTGCAACAAAAATGAAACAAACAGGTTTTACCCTGAAGCTTTCATTGCTAAGGACCACATGCAACCCCCCCCCCAAAAAAAAACAAACAAACAAAAAAAAAACACACACAGTATAGGGAGTCTTGAAAAGAAAGGCTAATAGGAAACAAAGGAGTGCTGAAGAGAATATCATTTTAACTTCTGTTAGCTGGGGACTTGATGCAGAAATTATTGGGTGTGTTCCATGGCCTCTGTTATGCAGAAGGTTAAACTAGATGATCATAATGACCCCTTTTGCCCATAAAAATCTATGAATCTAGCTAATGTGCAATAATCTAAAGATTAACTGCAGAGTTTATCTACTATACAGTGTGTATGATACAAGCCATGTATTTTCTGCAACACTGCACTGTAAGCAATGTAATGTTACAGTCTAATTCAAGTTCAAGTCTTATGATTCCCTGCACAGTAGGAAAAGCTTTCAAAGCTAAGAAAGGAGTTTTGCTTGTACTGGCAGAACTTTTGTCATGAGTTTTGGAACTAAACATGGATATCCTTAATGAGCACTTCACCCTATCGGTCCTCCTTGGCATACTTGGGACTAAAATAGTGTAATACTATATACAATACTCAGCCAGTCAAAAGCCTTCAGTCACAATGGAGAGACTGCATTCAAGGAAATTAACTGTAACTGTCATTAGCCATGTATGTTGTAGCCATATTAGTCCCAGGATATTAGAGTGACAAGGTGGATGAGGTAATCTTTTATTGGATCAACTTTTGTTGGTGGAAAAGACAAGTTTCAAACTACACAGTATTCTGCTTCTGTGTACTCAAAAGCTTGTCTTTCACCAACAGAAGATATTACCTCACCCACCTTGTCTCTCCATGAGCTGTGTAAACATTTCAGAGTTTATGATGGCTAATGTATATAGACTCTGCAGTAAATATAAATACATATCACTCGCTTTTCCCTCATAATTCATAAACACTGGAAACCTCTCATTTGAATGCAAAATTGTCAAAAAACAGAATAACCTGCAGCTGAAAAACTTGTCATGGCTGCTAACATCAGCAGAGATTTGTTTTATTATTTTGACCACTTTGTTTAAAATATCTTGATGGTACAATTTGGTTAACATATCCTGCTGTCAATCCCATGGGATAATGAAGCTCAGTGTACTCAGAAAAGTGACTGTATAAAAATGGCACTTTCTGAGCCAGCAGATCTGCTCCCTGTGTGTGTTCAGAGTCAAATCTGCTGACTTATGAAAAAAAGTAAGTTTTCATTACTGTCAGCCCTGTAGAACACCACAGCTCTGGGGATTCAACTGCATTTGCTTCTGCTAGGCACTTCACTGTTAGCAGAAAGGGCACTTTTCAAAGTCACAAATGGCAAGCGGGCACCCAACTCCCACTGACTGTCAAAGAAGTCACATGCCAGGGTGCCTTTGGAAAATCTCCCCTGGAATGAACTAAATTCCAGTTTCAGGGTCACCTTCATCTGAAGAAGTAGGGTTTTTACCCACAAAAGCTTATGCCCAAATAAATCTGTTAATTTTTAAGGTGCCACCAGACTCCTCATTGTTTTTGTGGATACAGACTAACACTGCTACCCCTCTGATACAGGGTCACCTGTGTAACCCACTTCTGTCCTCAGTTAGACCTGTGCAATCACACTGAACGTAAGAGACTTGCACAGGTAAACCTAAGAGCATAAACTGAGGGTAATGGGGCTACACAGCAGTCACTGAGGGGAGGATTTGGACTGCGTATCAGAGGGGAGCCTTTGTTTCTGGTGATGATTCATGAGCCACAAAGAACTCTCTTGGATTCTCAAATCAGGTTCATTGTTTAGGGCTGGCAGGTAGGGAAAACAACAGCATTCATCTTCTTACTTGCAAATTGAGTAAATTTGAAGAGGGAATAACTGAGGCATAATAAAGGTGGATTTACACAATGCACCATTTTACCAAGTAATTTTGCCGAGTAGAATCATACTTTAAAGGGCAAATGCTGCTGGCATTCTCTGTAGCATGGAATGAGACTAAACAATGGAAAATCCAGAGCAGACATGATACACAGCTTACTTGAGGTGCTGCTATGCTGCTGCTGATCAGAAGCCACAGAGAAGATTCTGAAATACCTCAACAAGCCTGCCTGTTGTGGGTGCATTGGAGCATGGCTAGGGGAAAACAGTTCAAAAGAAGAATATAGGGCAAGACTCCATTCTTATGGAAGGGAGAGAAGACAATGCCAGGTTGTTGAACCTGGGAAAGAGGTATCCAGAGTTCTGTGGCTTGGGACTGAAGCTAAATAATTTCCTTGCAAAGAGGTACACAGTGAATTACACTGTAGTAACACTGAGTAATGAAACACAAACTCCCAGGTGGGGGTACATGTCTACCCTTCCTATTCCAAATTATTAGAAGCACTTGAGTCTGCCCTCTGCACTTCGCAGGAGCGGAAAGGTGGCTATTCTTTTTCCAAACCAATTAACCTATTTTGGTTCAGTTTCTCCATCTGAAAATGGGGATAAGAAGTTTCTCTCACCACACAGAGTGGTAGGGCTAAATCCATTAATGCTGTAAGCTCTTTGAGATCCTGAGATGGAAGGTGCTATACAAGTGTAAAACATTGTTATGGGTTTGTAGGATGCCTAGCAGGATGTAGTGCATGTCCATGAGTGAGAATCTTAGGTTCCACAACAAAAACAATAAGAAAACAACAATATCATGAGAATAATGCTGTTACCCTTCCACAAACATTTGTATAATGTGAGTCTCTGTATAGTGGATGTGCAAAGCCACAGCTGTATACACAGAGGGCTGTGCTGCAGTTCCAGCGACCCAGCAGAAGCAAGATATCTAAAAAAGGTTTGTTGTCCACTTTTCTGGCTCAGTAAGCCTCCTCCTGCATTTCTGCCTAGCTTCTACTTTCTCCTCCCAGCCTGGACCACTTAACCTCTGTCTCTCCTCATCCCACCTCAGTATTCTCCTGGCTGCCTTTAACCACCCTGGTCTGCTCCCTAGTATCTGGGGCCTGATTCCCAGCTCTCTGAAGTCAGAATCTTTCTACTGATTGCAATGGGCTCTGGATCAGGCCCCAGGTCAGGATGCATCCTGTCCTCTCCAGGCAGATATGACTAGAGCTTTGCTGTCTTCAGGCAGGTCTCTCGGGCTCCATTCACACATAAGTTCCAAACAAGGAAAGGAACCATCAAGAAAAGGTGCCTCTCTTTTCCTTTGGGGGGTTCTAGTTCTGTGACCTGGTGTGTCAATTAGGGAACATTCATCTAATGGCCCTGATTCTACACCATTAAAGTTCATAGGGAGTTTTGCCACTGACATCAATGAGAGTAGGATCAAGCCCTTAATGGCTAAACTAGTTTTGTACCATCTGGTGCAGTTATTTTTGTATCTATCATATCATCCTACACTGTGGGTAAAGTATGAATGGATTCACTTATTTCCTCAGTAGCACATTAAGATAATTTCACATCTCTATGCTGGCTGTGCAGTTCCACTTAATTCACAGGCATAAACAGTAATAAGGACAGTGCTGTAAGACACAGGAATATGCATGTGTTTGGATCTTTGATCCACTGAAAAAATACAATATGTGATCAGAATACTATTGAAGGTATATTGTGAACTACATTAGAAAAACCCACCATATTGCGTGTAAAGAACATCGATCACATGGGACAAAATTAAGCACAGAAGTCTGCAAGTTGATCAATGGGTAAAAAAAAAAAAAAAAATTATACCTGTTCACTAACACATGCATTAATGCTTAACAGAAAGCAAAACTTGTTTTCTTTTATTGTATTCACAAGTGAGTGGTGAAAGCTGGAAGGGGTTTTAAAGCTTATCTTCTGATCTCCTATGACAGTACATCAAAATCCTGGAGAAGAAGGCAATGCATAATTCACTTTTAAAATCAGAAAATGGATTAGTTTTAATGACATTAAAGTTAAATTAAATTAATGTTCAATCTAATCAAATTCAAGGGCATTTAATGTTTCACATCACTAGTTTTTAATTCTTTACACTTGTAGTGAAGTTATTTCATGCAGTAGTACCATATGCAAGGTGGTCAGTTTGTGCAACCACTTATATTTAAGTTTCCTGTGCTGACATTTGAATTCAGAAACTAAAAGATATAAGCAATAAGTTCCTGAGCTTTAACACAAAATGGGAATCTTTGTGAGAAGCTGTCCAAATTCAAAGGTGAAGAACAGTTAACAGTTTTGAGCAGATGTGTTAGATAAATATCTTTTAACTGGAACACAATCTAACTCAAACAAAAAATGGATGGGGACTCTCATACCAAAGGAGTTGGAATTGTTAGTTTCTTCACATTTCAGTCATTAAAAACACATCTAGGAGATCAACTATAACCCTTGAAATTGATCAATACTAGCAAAATCTCAAGCACAGGAGGTGCTGATAGGAGGCAGAACAGATGAAAAAAGAACAGTTAGTTATCTTCCCATCCTAAAATAGAAGGAGTTATTTATGTCTGAAGGAAATATACATTTATTTTACTGACACCGTCTATTCAGAGTAAAGGATTTGCCATGACTATCACTCAAGCTTCCAGTTAAGAGGTTATTGAACCAATCATTTATAGATACCCTGAGATAAAATTTAAACACGGAATTTCATTTTAGAGTCTATGAACACTAACTTGTAGCAATAGGACTGGGGATGAAAGAGCTTCTTTCAACTAGAGAACTTTTCAATATGAAAAAAAAATCTCTCACCTCTGATGGTTATTTTTGCTGACCACTTGGATGTCCCATCCAACACACTCTGTTTTGCTGCCTTTGTGTATTGCACAAAATCTTCTTTGGAAATCTGGAACATTTCCTGGATCACTTCAAATACCTCTGGTCTATTTCTCTCCCTAATCTTCATTCTTTCCTTCATAGCAGTAATAATATTCTGGGTCTTATCTTCTGCACCATGTTTAGAACTCTTCTCTACAGCTCCTGAGTTTTAAAATAAATGAAGTGATCGATGTATTCAAAGAAACATTGGAGCAAGTGACTTATCACATCATCATGTTTGGTTTTCACTTCTATTACCTCTAGCCAATATTAGGTACAATGCTGGAGTACAGCTCTTCCAAATATTATAAACTAGAAGCCAAGGTGCCATCCCACAACAGAAAAAGCATTTGGGAACTGCTGTGCCATCCACTGGGATGTAATTCTCTATACTGAAGGTTAGGATTGTAATTTTACCTGAGATTATACTGATGAGTATTTCATATTTTGCAATACTAGGTGATGAATGAGTCTTAAGTGGCCTCTCTAATTGAGAAAGAATGTATGTCAAATGACTCTGTGGTAGGGAAGTTGTCTGTCTATATTGAGTTTTCAGGATCTGACCCTGTCCGAAAAACATTACTCTTTCGGATACTTCCTTTCTGAGCACTTAATATAACAACATTTATATTTCCTTTTTTTGTATAGTTTCCTTAGCGAATGAGTAAAATTCTACTTGCTAGGTAAACTGATAAAAGAAGCTAGAAGGAATTTCATGCTCAATGGGAAACCCTGATTTTCAAGGCACAGACTATTTGGTGTATTACAGTTGCCAAATATTATAGCATTGCATGACAATTATAAATTTAAGACAGTCACTGTTTCCCATTACAAACCCCTTTTATCAGAGAGCTGATAACTTGACCAAAAAATATGAACTGTTTCAGATGCTTTCAGGACAACTCAGAAGGTAAATCCCAGAGTTTGCAGGTACTGTATACACTGGAGTAAATTTCTCCTCATCCCCTCATGGCAGAGCATTTCCACAAGACCATATCCAAAAGCCACATAAGTCAGGCATCATAGGCAAAATCCATTCCACCAACACAGAGCCTAAGTGCTTAGAGCCTCAGGGCTGCTCTAACTCCCCCTCCCAAGAGCTAGCACAGGAAGCCCAAACTAGGATCACTGGAGGGCAGCACACTCTGGTCACATCTCCTTCCAACTAAGTAGGTCACTGGAAAGCTCAGTACTCCATGAGCAGAAGCGGGGCGAGCTGGTTTCATGTTAACTCTCCTGCTGGCTCTAAGCCAGCTTTCCATCCCCTTGGGCCTCTGAAATAGTGGCCAATATCCGGCCCTTGTTGATTAAATTCTGGTTGCAATTGGGTAGATAACTCAGGGTATGTACCAATGGGACAATTTAGAGACATTTTGCAAAGAATGCTGCTCTAGGAGAGCAGAGGGAAAGATGGTTTGGGGGTAAAGAAGGGGTACAGAACCTTGAATTTTTTAATAAAAAACAAATCAAAGGATTGTTATTAACCATCACACTCAGAAACAAGGGGACTCTACATTATTCTGTTCTCAGCTGTCACAGTAACCAGGTGCCAGCTTCAAAACAGAGATGTGCGATCTTCCCCTGGATGGGATAGCAAACTGAAGACATGTCAGTACATGCATATGTCAAAATAGGAGAAAGTTCTTTATTAAGAGTAGTGAAGGGGCAAGAAAGATAAGAAACATATTGCTTTGTTTCAACTGTCTGTAACTCCTGGATGGAAACCTAATGATGGACCATAGGTGTCATAGGGCCAGTTCTGGGAAAGAGCCCACCTGTGCCCTGTTTAGCTATCACATAGTACTCGTCCATAACTAGCACAGAAATGTAACATTACACTAAGCTTTGTTTACATTGCTGCTAGTAAACATCAATGTCAAGAAAAGTTAAAGGAAGAAAGCTGAACACTAAAGCTGAATTGAGGCACAGTTCTCTGATAGGGTGGCATGGAGCTGCTCCTCCCAACAGGAGCCCCTAGAGACATTCCATCTCAGGGAGGAGACAGGCTATGTCCTCAAGCTCCCCAGCACACAGGGACAGAGCTCCCAATGCCATACCCCTTTGGAGGGTGTAGCATAACTCTTCCAGTTCTGCTAGCCAATGTAGAGGGGTGAGCATGGTTCTACCTCTTCGCTGTCTCCTTGCCCATGTCTTGCACTCCAATATAGTATAGGGACATGGATGGGCCCTACTGAGGCAGAGAACTAAAAAGGACTCCTTGAATCTTCCACTGCCTTCCTGTTTTGGGCTCCTGGGAGCAGCAGGGCACAATGTGACCCAAAGCACTGAAACCCTTGTTTCTGAGTGTGATGGTTAATAACAATCCTTTGATTTGTTTTTTATTAAAAAATTCAAGGTTCTGTACCCCTTCTTTACCCCCAAACCATCTTTCCCTCTCTAAGGAAGTTCCTTTCTCTAACACAACTCCCATTACTGTTCACTTCCCAAACTGTAGGTGGGTGGCAGAAAAGACCAAAGGATAGTGCCTATTCGATTGCAAAAACAACGAGAAGTCCTTGTGGCACTTTACAGACTAACAAATTTATTTGGGCATAAGCTTTCATGGGCTATAATCCACTTCATCAAATGCATGGAGTGAAAAATACAGTTCATGAAAAGAGGAGAGTTGCCTTTCCAAGTTGGGGGGAGTGCTAATGAGGCCAATTCAATCAGGGTGGATGTGGTCCATTCCCAACAGTTGACAAGATGGTGTGAAACCTACCCATGTGATTGTAATTTATATACAGCATATGTGTAGGGCAGGGCTCGCGCTATTCTACAATCAGTGAAAGTGTCCGAGGAAGGAAACGGAATATTAGGAGGAGCAAAGCTTTCAGCATCTCTTTGTTCAGGTGACTTGGTTAGCGGGCAGGGACATTTGCTGGTTTGCTTACAGCAGCAAAACCACTAGAGCTGCCCCAGTACATAAAATAGACACATGCCTAAAGAGAGTCACAAGGCTGGGGAAGGCATCATTAAAAGTTCTTCACAGCTGAAGGCTGAACTTGTAATTCATGAATGGAGAATTTACAGGGCTTTCAAGATATTTATTTTTCTAAATATATTCACTGATCACTGTGGCACTTCAGAGCTAACTATGCTGTTGTAAAGTCCTCTCCTTTCTGTCTAATGAAAGCATTGTTGAGAGGCAGCCCCATCACTGCATATTGTACTTGAGTAACATAGTGTTTTAGGTGTCCGATAACGAATTGGTTTATTTCTCGGCTCAGAGTAGGGTGCGAGGTTGAGGACGAGGAAGGAAACATAGCTCTGAGGAGAGCATGGGAAAGTGGGGCGTGGCAGAACACCACCAGAAACAGGTGGTCAATGCTATGTTAAAAATGATAGCAGCAGAGAAGGGAGGTAGCTGGGATCACTGAACAAGATACACCACAGGTGTGCATGCCATATGGAGACTGTCAAGAACAGCAAGATGACAGAGCAATACAAAGAAGATTTTCTAACCAATGAAACAGTGATGTGATAGACATCACTTTTTTCACGACAGGTCCTGTGGGAATAGATGCTACTGATTGTTGATTCATACTATTGAAATCTGTGGACCAATTCTGCAGTTACTCATTCCTCATTAAGTAAAGACTAGCTTTGATTCCAGTGGGAGATTTGCCTGAGTTAGAATGATAGGATTGGACCCTGGCTATGTATTTCTGCACTGACATCTATCCCAGTATACATTTATTTAAAATGTTGCTTTCTGCACTCTCCACCTGAGATGCTTTTTTTTTTCTTCTTCTTATGAGGGTCCCAAGAGAAAGTAACTTATATAACCTTACAACAGCTGACTTCAGTACAACACGGGCAGTATAATGGAGAACACTCAGTCTAACGCTGCTGGCAACAGCGAGTTGCTATTTCAGTTCATTTATACTGACATGGCTGCTTAAAATAAAGGATTAAAAGTTTATCAAAACCAGAAAATGTGGGTGCCTATTTAATGAAGCAAGTAATTTATTCAGGCTTTTTATAACCACAATCCACAAACCTCTCCTCCATAGCCAGTTTTAGCTCTAGGCACTTTGAAATTCATATGCTGGCTGGAGCAAAAGGAACGGTTGTAGTCTGCATTGGATAAAGGAAAACAATGAATATGAGGGAGCCAAGTTATGAGCACATTTATAAAACGTAGCAAAATAAGTGTATTTTGTACAGAGATCTATCATACAGCTGTGTGCACTTCTCTTAAAAGCCACCTAATCCCGGCTCTATGCCAGCTGGGGAGACCTGTCCATTTCCCATGCTGCAAGATTGAGTGCATTACTAAAAGTATACTGGAAGCCCTTACAATTGTGCCATTTTTGCCTGAGTTAAATAGATGAGGTTATGTTAGAATACACTATACAACATAATTAGTATAAGAAAAAACTTATAGAACATTGCAAATAAAGATGTCACATTATTTAGTTACCTAGGGCAATAGGATAGTTTTTAAGAATAATCACTGTGTGCAAATATTGTTAGAAATATATTCCACATAACAAACAGATTGTTGGCCTTGATAAGGCAGCTTTTTATGTTCAATGCTTTGTAGCTGGGTTTGTTTGTTTTTTCTATTACTGATCTTTGGTGATCAGGTCTTCTGGCATCTAAACTGGCCTTCTGCCTTAAGGACCTCTTTCAGTATTTACTATAGATGAGGGCAGCAGAATCATCAGGACTATTAGCAGCTGTAGAGCACTTTTACATTTCCAAGCACTGTGCGAACATTATCTAATTAGCCTTCCTCACACAATTCCTGTGGGGGTACATGGAGGTACTGAAGGTATTATTATTCCCTTTTTACACTGGGTGAAACTAAAACACAGTGAGGTTAAGTGACTTGCTCTGCAATTAGAATTTGAGAGTGTGCTTAATCTGCTGGAGTATAATCCCTTTTCCGTGATGCCATCAGGCACTACTATTTTGCTTTGATGGCATTTTTCTTTAAAGCTCTCTCAGGTTGTCATGACTCAAGAAGAGGCTCTGTCCGACAGCACTGAAAGGGTCTTCTATCAGCATGGGGACTTCATTGGAAGCTTGTAGAATCTTTTGACCTAATCATCTTTTTTTTATTATTATTATTTATATTGTGCCTGAACGATGCTAGGCACTTTACAGAGAACCAAACCCAGATATTTATGGCCATATGGGAGGCATGGCTTGAT